TGCCTCAGCTGCTTGTTTTGACATCGTTTCTGACAAGTCAAAGTGTGAGATTTTGTCTTCAGAGGAGCTCGCACGCCCCGTTTTCAGGGCAGAATCCAGCTAAAAAACGCTAAAAAAAAGTATATTATCCATCAGAGTGTGTTCTGCTGAGATTCAAATACAGGTACGAGATTACGTTTTTTTGTTTTGTGGGGTTTTAAACCTACCCTTAAAACTCACTTCCTCCTTTTTCCGATGCAGAAACGTGGACTTTATCCATTATGTGTTGGCTCAGGCTCAAAATCTTTGTGTCATCGAACTGTCTCACAGTCTCTTCCTGTTTGGGTTTTTTTCCCCTCAAAAAGCAGAGTGAGAGCTGATGGACGCCAAATTCAATAACAGAAGCTTTCATGCTAACAGCTCAGCTTATATCCCTTCACTCCACCCAAAGAAAAGGTGTGAGGGGAGATGAGTACAGGCACCCAGAGCCAAAATGTGACATGAAATGCACCTTTCAAAAGCCCTGCATGAGCCTGTTCATGTCTTGTTGGTGTCAATAGAGTGTGTTGAACAGGGGAAACTTCTAAATCCTGCACGACAGAGGACCCAGTTTGGAGATTCCTGACTTAAACGAAGCTACACACTAGATCTGAGCACCAGGAAACAAATGTTCCAAAGATAATCCACCAAAACGACACATATCCATTTGCCAGTCTAAAAATCCTCCTCTATTACATCAGATATGAGCACCTTCCCCATCCCCAACATCCCCTAGTTAAGGCTGCTTTCACAGTTATCATCACAAAGCTAAAAAACTAAACAGAGCTGTAGGAAAATACCCGTGTCTCTTTAAAAGTTGAAGCAGAATGATCTGTTTTCCTTCCTTTTAGGATGATCCAGAGAATTAAAGCATCAAAACGCCTCTCTTTGGCTTTGAGAAACTCTAACATTGACCCTGTCTGCCACTTTGACACTTTGGCTTATTTTGCACGTTTCAGATTACAGATTACCGATAACTCCAAGATCCATGCTCTCCTTTAGGTCAAACATCCCGTTATTACCGAATAAACTCGGGCCACAAACTCTGGTGGAGTGAATGAAGATGAAGCCTTCAGCTGGCCCTCTTCCTTTTGTTTTTCTCAGAGATCTGCAGCAGGAAGCTGTGGGTTCGGTGTCAGCCCCCCCAAAGCCTCTCGACAAATCCAGTGACACTTCACTGCTATAGCTTTCCATAATTCTACACTCGACTCTCGCCCCCCCTCGCGCGTAAACGGCTCTAAGCCCTCCCTCACACGCCGGTCTTTAGTGGCAGATAAATACCGCGAGCGGAGTAAAGTCTGAAAGACAGCAGCGAAATCCTTTTTTTCTTCAATTTTCACAATTTCTAGGAAAACAGAGAGGCCCTGGAGCTGTTCGTCCAACTTCTTCTTTTATTTCCTTCCTGGTAGTAATATACCATAACACAGCATCCACCCTCCGCCACTGTCTACAGTTTTGTAATTTCCTCTTCACCCCTAACAGCTAACCACAGATAACCTCTAATAAACAATTCATATTCTTTTTTCCCCCCATGTATATTTCTCCTTTTGTCTCCGCCTCCATCTTTTCCTGCACTCTGCTGGTAAACAGGGGGTCATTTCTTTTAGGTTTTGTCTTTCCTGCTCTCTGTTTTTCCTTCATCTGGCCCACATCTCTCCATCTCCATCTCCAGGAGCAATCATCTGATCCTATGCCGAGGAAAAACGAAGGCCCTCGGAATCATCCTTTGATGGCCATCATCTGCTAATCTACTGCACATGCATATGGATGGAACCATCAAAAAGCCTCGACAAGTCGTCCCAATTTCATAGCGATCACAATGAGGTTTTTTTTCTAACATCGAGCAGGGATTGTAATCAATAGCCTCTTCACCGTGGCTCCTGTTTTTTTTTAAGTGGAGATGCCACCCCAAGTGCCAACCGGAGCTTTAATGAATTCACCGTCTCAGTGGCAATGATGCCTTTCAACTCTGCCCCTTTTTAAATGGGGATTTGCAACAGAAAAGAGGCTGAGAGGAGGCTCCTTAAGCTCTCTCAAGGCGGCCCTTTGTGATGTGTGTGTGTGTGTGTGTGTGTGTGTGTGTGTGTGTGTGTGTTTGTCCTCCATCTCCAACATCAGAAGCAGCAGATGCTTCAGCAGAGGGGAGCCTCACAACATCAGCCTTGATATTCAGCTATTAGCAGATCAGCATCCCCCCCTTCCTCCCCCCCCCTCCCACCCACCCATCGTTTACACATGCTGTCAGAAATTGATGATGTGCATTAACACAGCATGTGTCAGCCCCACTAAACATCATTTAATCGCTCCAAGCTGACAGCACAGGACACCAGTGCCACAGTAAAATAAATAAATAAATAAATAAATAAATAAAAAGTACAATGTTTTCTTTCCTGCAGTGTGCGCAAAGGGGACAAATGAGCTGCACCGCATCTAGAAATGCCACGAGATGTTACACAATATTCCTAAATGATGATTGAAAATGAGCTGACTGCAGGATGGAAAAACTTTCTATTTACAGATCATACATTGACCTGAATGTTGATCAATGTTTCCGAATAAAAAACAAACAAACACATGCAATGTTAACCTCTATGCAATGATCACAAAGACACGAACTTATCATTAAGATATACATACAAAAACAGCTTAATCAGCGTTCAAATGTCTTATATTACCAGTAAATGCAACGGATAGCCAACAAACCCATTTCCAAAAGCAGCTTTACGGACTTATTCAATACTTGCGCGTCCTTTTCTCCAGGAAACAACACTTTAAAATAAAAAAAACACAGTATCTAAATGACTTTTCCAAATATCAGAGAAACTTCCAGCCTGGATTGCCTCTCGCTTGGAGAGTACTTACAGTTTGCGGCTCCTCTGGCGCGTTTGCGGACACGGAGCCCGTATTTCTGCTTTCTGGCTAAACTGGAGCGGAGGTGGGGACGCGCGCGGGCATGGCCGTGACTCACGCGCAGAGCAGGTCCGACCAGTAGGGTTTCCTCGCGCCCGGACTCGGTGTTCGCTGTCAGGCAGCCAGCTCCCCAAACTCACCTGCCATGTGACAGCCGCGGTGCCTTCACGGGATCCTCGTAACTCGTGATCTCGCGTTGCCTGCCCCCATTTTCAAAGAAAGACCAAAAGCTTTCGCCTTGGTAAGTAAGGCAAAGATATATTGGCAATAATGGACAAAAAACACATGGGGTCTAATGTTTCACTATGATTCCAATAGTAACCCCTTTAAAAGTCACATTTGGATGCACAAAATACGCCTTCATGTGCTGCTAATTACATTTTATATTTATGTCAGACACAGGACCGTGAATATTTTTGTTCGCAATAATTTGATAACATTTATCTGACAGCACCTGAACGTCTCACATTAACAGGAGGAATCAATCTCCGTAATTAGCTGGACAGTTAAGGTTATGGAATAATTACTCCATAGCTGTAATATATTCAGTTCACACACTTTAAAGCCTCTAATACCTTGACTTTGGAGTAACATATGTGAGAGTGAGTATTCAGACTGTATGAAAATATGGTAAAATATCGAGCAACAGGAGAAGGAATGCTGGAAAAGTCCCTTTTATGGGCTGCGTTTTAATATGTCTCAACACTGCCATCTCGTGACACTGATAAAAGCAGTCATCTCATCAGACTGGCTGCTGAACGGATTAAATACATTTCTTTAGTTTTTTCTTGTCTTTTTTCATTTCTCCACAGTTTTTGCCACGGAAACAGTTGTACTTGTTACTTATATAATGGTATGCTATAAACAGAGGGTTGGAAGATACATGTATTGGGTTAAGACATCTTTAAACTGCTCCCCATACAGTTTACTTCCATATTAATTAATGTCCTAACATTGATATGGAACAAAATAGCTAAATAAATAGTATTCAGAGATGTGAAGAAAGTGAATTTATAATATAAATGTATACAAACAATATCTGGGAACAATGAATTGCAGTCCAACTAGTCTTTTTGGCTTCATGATATGTATTTACAAAGAGTACTTTCTGAAACTTAAAGAAAGCAGAGTAATGTTCAGGCTGAAAGATGCATAAAGTCCAGTGGAAAAAATAATAATAATTATTCTTAAGGTACGTTTTTTATTTTTTTTTAAACTAATTTACTTTTAAACTCAAACGATAACCTGTACAAGACTAGATTATATGATGGATCATAAATCAAAGTCCCAAAGTTGTTAAAATCACTTGGATTCAGTTTAATCTCATTAGTTGCAGGGGATTTTTTTCAATATACTGAAAACAATTTATTTCCAACAGGCCCTCACTTTCTTGGAGGAACATGCACCAAATTTGAATTAGAGTTGTCTTTCTGATTAGATTTACATTAACTATTCAATCAAGAGGAAGAATTAAAACTTTGAACTTGGTAAATAGGATTATTGGTAATGTTTCCAAATCTGTTTCTCAATCTTCAATTTAGTAAATAAATAGAAAGGTCATAGCAACAGCCACATGCAAGCAAAAAACACAAGATGGGTAAAATATGACCAGAGGGAGGCATTATTGCACAAAGGAAACAAAAGTTAAATACTCAGATCCTTGCTTTCCAACGAACCTTTAAAAAGAGAAGAAAACCTACAAGAGTGGAGACAGAGCATGCCGGATGTACTAAACTTGTATGAAAACTATAATCATGCCATTTTTCTTCTGTTATAAATGATTGATGACACCCTAAATTCCCATAAATCTATTATAAGTTACAACATTCGCACAGGGTTATTAGGCACGGGTCCAACTCGTGTGGTAAGCCGCCGAATAAATGGCTTGTTTGCCGTGTGTTTACCGTGACACGCTCACACACAGTTTGCCTCTGCATTCCGCTCTATTCCGCGTTTGATTGGTCCAACCGCACGTCCGTCATATTTTCCCCGACTAAACTCGCGTCTGATTGGCTGAAGGGATACCTAAGGTGGTATCGCGAACGCCATTGGCTGAAAAACTAGGTTAGTGGTCCGACAGGCATGACGGTGAAGAGAAACTAGGTCACCGATTGAAAATCGTTTATGTCACAGTTCTGTGTGTTGCTATTACATGTAACCACCGACTTTCAATGGATAGTCGGCTGTCGTTGGATGTCTTGTAAGTATGAAAACAGCGCGTGCTTGTGTCTTGTTGATAACGCCTCTCTGGGGCTTTGCTGGGGTTTAATCCGTGATGGGTATCGTCGATGTTTTCCCAGCTCTGTGGTCATGTCAGAGTGGTTTTGTGGAGCAGGAGGAGGGACGCTAGCTCGGTGGCCAAGTCTTGACAGTTAGCGTTCCGCAGCTAGCAGCACCATGCTAATATTAGCCCCCGAGACCACTCGCCGTTATTGATAAAAAGGGGGGAAAAAACCTCTCTAATTGGTCACGCGGGGTTAAAGACGTTGCCAACGACGACCGAGGCTCCAAAACGAACCCCGGGCTAAGGTAATGGCCGGTCTTTGGGCTCGCTCAACGCTAACTAAACCTGACCTAGGAGCGAACAAGTAGTGTCCACTGCTCCGGTGCTAACACGCTAGCAATGTAAACAGGCCCCGGTGGGAATCTGGCACACGGTTCCTTCGACAGCATCCATCCTTCTGCGATAACTTTTAACCCCCCCGAGTGAAAAGCTCCTCAAACGGGCACAGGTGCGTTGGGTTTCGACCCAATCCAAGACTCTGAACGTGCTGCCTGGGATCACCGGTTTCATTTTTATTGACGAGACATCGTGACAGTAAATTGTCTCGGAGTGGACATTTAGTTCCCACAGTCCCCGCAGTGCCCGAGCAAAGGAAAAGGAAAAGGCTTTGGGCTGGATTTTGCTGCAGGTGTGATCGAAATCGTGTCTGAAACTGATCACCGACGGTATGCCGTCAGATTTTTATTCTAGGGATTCATTTTTATTCCAATTATGACACATGGTTAACACTTTGGGCCAGATTGATCATCATTTGTCAGATATGTGTATGCCTTTATTGTGTATGCTACACTACAATATTACAACAATTTCACTTGTTGATAAAAAGTGTTGGATTTTAATTTCTAACATTGTAATTATTAGAGATATTAATAGGATTTTCCTAACATTTCTGATGTAAACTATACTGTTAGTCTCCTATGGTCTTTGCCTTTGTGCTATCAGTGGCTTATGCATTAACCTTTTCATGGCAGGAAAACGTCTATATTGAACTTCAGACTCGGACAGGTGTTCTTCTTGTACTGCCACAGAGACATTTTGATAACATAAGTTTGTTGTAAAGATTCAGATAAGATGATTTTTTTTTTTAAAAAGCTGATCAATCAATTTGATTCATCGTAATGCATTTGTTTTATCGAAGGAAATGAGGGGCATTGAGGATAAATGGGGCAAAGGTTGAGAAGAGGAGCTGTAATGAGAAATGTGGTTGGCCCGTCTGCCTCACTCTGACTTGTAATGCATAATTATATGATTTTTCTCCATTTGGAAACTTGATGAGTCATGCAGAAAGCTCAGAGGAGTGGGCACGTCTTTCATAAGCAGCGGACAGTGTTCTTTAGGGTTATCTGTACGTTTTAACTTGGGATACTCTGAGTCATGGCATTTGGTTGTGCAGATAGATGTAAAAGTTTATGTAACACCAGCACCTAATTGTCTATATTTCATTTTCTAATTTCACCCAAGCTTTGTATGGAACAACCCTAAATCAATCAGATTATTTTCTTCTGTGTTGTCTTAATATTGGGGCAAAAGATTGTGAGCTCTATCCTCTCACCAGATTGTCTGTAAGGAAATTATTCAACCTATTTTCCATTTATTCTGGTTGACTTAATTGCTAATGCTCGGTGTCCGTTGAAGATCAACAAAGGCCTTTCGCTAAATGTCAGATTTTAGCTGAGACTAACTAGGACAAATAGGATAACATAGGTCATAAACTTCTTTTATAATGAAGGGCACACCCGGGCCAGTGTGGATCAGATTTTCTGATGTGACTTTTGCCCAAAATGTCCAAAGATTGATTTAAGCCAACTAGACTGAAAGAGTTTCCATCAGCCCACAATTCACTTGGTGATATTTACTGTATAATTTAATATTTATGTATTCTTATTCTGGAAAGTTATACATGGCAAACTCATCATTACTGTGCGATGTGGAGTCAAATTGTAGCGAAAGGCCTCTTTAGAAAAACCCAGATGGGAGAAGCGATAATATTCCATTTAGGTTGAGTCCATTCATGTTTAAGCTTCGAAAGGGAAAATGCCTGTTGTGTGTCACAGGACTGCGTGAGCAAGCTAATCTGCCTTTTTGCTTAGATTTATGAAAAGATTAAGATGGAGAAAAGGTGGCTCGCAGGCTCCTGTAAAGGAAAAAATGGCTGGCGCTAAAGCTAAGTGTGGTGGATACGTCTCATTCCCTTTCAGTCTAAAACTTTCAATAGTAATTTTATTTTCATATAAGTTAGAGGTGTATAACAGTTCAATTCCCTGTATTGACTTTTTTGCAAACTTGCTGCAAAGTGTAAACGATGAACAGAAAATCATCCTTTATGCGGCAAACTCAACCAGAAACCTTCCATGTGTCTGCAGTTTTCTTTTGTTCAAACTGAGGGAACACGAGACCCTTTGACCCATCGCCTGAAGTTGTTCATGAGGGAAAAATGGCCTCAAAGAATATTCCTTTCAGGTTGATTAACAGGAAAAAAAGTTAACTTAACCTGCTGATTAGCTTAGCATTGATCTTTCTCCATCAGAATCTGACTGGAAAAAGCCTTATCTTCTCAATTGGCTGCATGAAAATCTTTGGCCACCAACAGAGATTGGAGTCATTTTTGACCTGCTTCCCTTGTATAATTTACAGCGGCTGTTTTCAGGTTGACTTTATGAATGGACCATAATAAAATTAGGTCTGTCCGGGAAAGTGGTTTACATTGATGATAATTACAGGAGGCTTTGCCAAGTAAAACACAGCCTCATAGTGGCCTGATAAGCCTCAGCTGGTGGCCTTTTGCTGCACAAATCAAACACATCCTCCCTGCCAGTACATACAGATCAATGACACATGGCTAAATTTAATAATCTTCTCAGCTAAAAATAGTCCAAATGCATTTTTTTTTTTTGTTGCTAGCTTTGGCTCAGAGGTGCCTCACTTTCAAGCCGAGCGTAAAAAAGGCGTTTGAAAGCAGGACTACCCTCACTTTGCTAATAATTTTTCTACACAGCTGTAAAGCTCAGTAAAGGAGATACAGATGGTTTCTGCTTTTTGAAAAGCAACTCTATATGGGAGGGGTGCGTTTCCTTTTCAAGCACTTAACACTCCCGCTGTGGACACTGACAGCTCGCTACACCCTGACCTTTGCAGAAATATGTTCTCTGTCCTAATTCTTACATTTAGTGAGACATCACACACAGCTGCACATTCAGCCAGAGAGGAGGGCTGTTAGAGGCCTTCCATTCCTTTGTTTAAAGTCACTGCCATTAGGAAATATCATTCACAGAAAACCTTTGTGAATTTATATCATTGAACTTACAAAGTTCTCCTCATTACTAGAGTTAAACGCAAAAACAACCCAGTAAGACTGATAAAGAGCTCTACATTAGTGGACGGAGCTTTTATTTGTATTATTTGCGTGCTGCGTTATGTCCCTCTGGATGGGACGGGACAAAACGTACGTTTCTCTGCCACCTCATTGGATAAATGTGGCACCGGCAGCCCCGGCCAGCAGCCAATCCGGCCAATCAGGCAGAAGACTGCCCCATTGGGCGCCCGCTCACCGATCCACGCTTCTCTATGGAGCCCGTTTCCAAAAGTCCTGCCTATCTGCTTCTGTTTGGGGCCCCTGGCTTTCAGTGTTTTGCGTGTTGGAGATGCTGTCACTGCTACAGGCAGTAGGCCGTCTTGTGATTTCCAGCACTACCGTGCTATAAAAGCAACAGTGTCCCTCCACTTTGAATAAAAAGGGTCTTATAGTTGTCTTTATTCATTTATTTATTTATTTTACCAGAAATGCTTATTGGAGACTTGATCATTCTCTAGATATGAGATACTTGTTTGGAGTTGTTGCCCTCCTCACTGACAATTGGTATTATTCTTCCCACAAACTACGATCAGCCCAATGAAAAGTGGCTGCAGACATATAAAAAAATGAGCTTATACCAACAAGATTGTCAGAAGATGCCCGCTTAAACTGGGCGATATGGCAAAAAAAATGACCAGGAAATTATTTTTTGTTCTATCTTGATCAAGACATAGTTTGTAGCCTCTACAAAGTGGTTCAATGTTTCACGCCACCACAATCGCAGTTATTTGGAGAATTGGGATTTTTTGGGGGACGTTTGCAATCTCAGTTAGTCGCACCGTTTATAGGTAATTGTGACAGCCTTCCGAATGTTTGGGCGCACTTTTCTGAGTGTCTTGTCCTGTTGGAGGGTGAATGGTGCCTGGTGGGTGGTACGCGTCAGAGTCGGCTTCCAATCGGTGGCAGCCGAGCAGTGCATTCCAACAATGTGACGTACGGCGTGTCACTCACCTGCCTTTGTTTTGAAAGCTTTAGCCGGGTGGAGTCAGTCTGGCTGCCGGTGGGAGTAGTGCTCCCAAACGGAGCGCCCGGTTCTGCTCTAAAGAAACCAGCACGCTGGGTTTGTCACGTCGGCTCAGTCACATTTCTTCACGATGCCTTTAGCCGGGCTGCTGCTAGGTCTGCTCTGAGTCTTTCATCATCTTCATCATCTTGGCTCACATTTTTAACGTGAACCAAAACACGTCGGGAGAACATCGCTGTGCATATTAATCCCGTTACTGTTAACACAAATCCAGTTACACAAATCCAGTTACACTCAAGATAAGACAGAAATGGTGAACCCAGAAGCCATTCATTTCTAAATTATGTTGAAATTTGTTAGCATATTGCTAACAGGGATCAAAGTGGGCCTTTCCAGTTGGATAATATTTGATTATTATTTTTTCAGAATATGGTAACACATTCACATGAGTGTGGAGTTGTGAGTCTGGGAGGAAGTCCTCCTCCCCTTGTTTGTGTTTCTCTTTTAAAGCCCCTTGAACACGGGACAGCTTTCCATTAAACAGATGGCAGCTGAATGCGCCGCTCTCATGTGGGAATTACCTCATGCCTTGGTTCCTTTCGTACCATTTGAGGCAGAAATCTTGATTAATTGCCACCTAGTTATGTACACGTAGCAGGTTAATCGAAGCTGCACACACAGCAGCAGTAGAGATTGAATATTAGATAACCTCCCTCTGTCATGGTTTCATCTACAATGATAGGTCCTTTATGTCAGCTTCTTAGATAACTGAAGTGTTTTTGACTTGTAGCTGAAACCTCTTTATTTGGGAGTCTTCTTATACGCTACCATCCAGCTTAATTTTTTTTAAAACAATGCTAATATTGTTAGCTTGATATGTGAAAATGGAGCTGTTTTATGATGATGTAGCTTATCTTCTGGTGTCGGCCTCCTCTGGGTAAATAAGTCACCCTCTCATCCGTTTGAAATGAATGAAGCTGTTGCCCTGTTTGAACCCTCAGGACTGTAACACTGACTTTCCGATGAGCTCGGACATGCAGAAAAGCGAGACTAGAATGTCGAGGTTTACACCATCTGCCGTCGGCCCGCTCGGTAATCCTCCTCTTTTACTGTTAGCCCCCTTTTTGTCCAGGCGGTCGGAAAACTGGACAGAGAAGTTGTTTGTGTTGTTCCACCGCCTTCCTGATATTCCTCCTGTATCCTCACGAGGGAGGATATCTGCCAGAGATCTCCCATTTCCCACCGTGATAAAAGGGGAAAAATGGTCAAAGCCTCCTTCACCTCTTCCTCCATTTTGTTCCTGCCGTGCATCTTGCACGTCTCCTCTTTGGCTTGTGTTGATTTGAAGTCGTGTTTCAAGGCATTTAAAGGGTCTTTGAGCAGTCTATCATAAGAGTTAAACAGATCCCAGAGAGCACTGCTTAAAAAATGTGAACGACTGATGGTCATCGCCTTAACAGGTTGATAAAGACATCACTGTTGTTTATCCTGTGCATTGATAAGGCCTTAAATGATACAGTCTGGTAACAGGAAACTTTGCTTGTTTAAAGTATTTCCAAAGGCTCCCCTGACCTAAGCATTTTAGGTACTCAGTGAAATGCTATTCCTTTGGGATAAATGCATCCGAAGCAGAGCTTTTCTTAGCAGCACTCACCGGGTCCGGGTTAAATGTACATTAATATAAATAAATTAAAGGGGATGCTTCATCTCTGAGACGTCTTTAAGCTTCGCTCTGAAGTGGCAACGCGCGGCTCGGGTCGTCTTTGAAAGCTCTCACGGCTCTTTATTCTGGTTTTAGCTGCCTTTCATTCAAACGCACTCAGGATTTTTTTTAATCCCCCCATAACAAAAAATAACCGGCTTTTGTGAGCGGCCCTCGTGAACCCAGTTGCTTGCGCGTCCGCTTCACACACGGTTGTGTGATTTGTCCAGAAAATGAGGCCAGCACAGCGATGATTAGCTTAGCTTCTGAGGAAATGGGTCATATTGTCTCCTCTGATCTTCACACCTTTCCGTAATCTTTGATCTCATGAAATGCAAATTTTGTGACCAAATAAGCAGAAAAGGCTTTCTTGAAGGCGTTTTTAACATTTGATTGTTTAATATTCCCCATCCACTAGCTTCACTTTGAAGCAAAAGTTTCTAGATTCACCACTGAAGTAACGGTGTGACATTTAGAGTGATTTGGCCATTAGTTTGGTGTCGGCCATTTTCCACCTGTCCGGAGCCGTCCTCCGTGCCGTTTGCGTTCTGGCTGTTTTTCTTGGTTCACTAACAGATTGGCCGGCTGTTCCCTGGCTGTCTGAGTGGGTGCGGACTGCGGAGCAGGGAAACCAAGCTGAATGGCTTGCTGACTCACTGATGAGGTAGAAGTAGGTGGCGGATGGAAACTGAGGCTGGCTGCTTTGAGACCATAGAGACTGAGTGACCCAGTTTCCACTCCAGCACCGCGGCTCCTTTCACCATTCAGCCATGACACAGTGGTTTTCCCCCCTCTGGACCTGAGTTTTGTCACAATGAAGGAGCTGGCCAGCCCACCGTGACCTGGTACTTCACTCGCTGCCTCTTCAGTTGCACCTCTTCAGCGCTTGTTAAAATGAAGCCTTTTGGCAGAGGTTTTTCCACGGATGTACGCCTTTTTTTTCCTGGCCCATAGCAAAAATCAATGACTTTTGTGTCATTATTTATTTTTTCTTTAAAAAGGTCCAATCAAATAGAATTAAAAGACATTTTGTTTTGTACTTTCAGCTTATAAATGTGGGAAAACTATATTTTGCACGACCGTCTTCAGCAGAAGAACTTCAGATTTCTGTCTGTCAGTTCATCCACATTGTTTCTCTGTTGCCTGACAGCCCACTAACATCCACAAACTCCTTAATATGTCTGGACACAGTTATTAAAAACTGGTGGTATGGAGGAGAAAAAGCTTGGGTGTCGTCACAGTTACTGTTTTTTATTTCCAAAAAACAGAAACCCTTCATTTTTAATTAATTCACACCACAAAGAAATACAAATCTTTGGAGACAAAAGCACAGATATCTGGAATGCGTTTCAGTTTTTTACAGCTAACTAGCTAAAACCTAAAACACAACGCTTTAAAGATAAGGAACCAATTATTTTCTGACAATAGATAACATTTTTGGGTGGAAATGATTTAGAGATTCATCACATATGGAAGCTTTTATTTAAGTGCCAGCCAAAAAGGATAGAAGAAGAAGGGCATTTCTAGTCATGTTTGTGTTCATGAAGGGGAGTTAGTGCCTGTAAGGGAATAGTTAGTCAACTTTGAGGTGTTTCGATCGATCAGAGAGCAGAAACTGTGCAAACTTCGTTCTGCCGGTCCGGCGCTGTGCACGGGCACGATCTCACGCTCTCATTTGGATCACTTTTGTTTACATTTTTGGATTCGCATTTGACTGAGAGTCGTGCTTCCTGTTTGCAGAGGCAGACGGGTAACGGCAGCTGCGTGAGGATCCGATCGTATCGAGGGTGACCACATCAAAGCGGATGATACTGGGTCAGACCGAAGCAAACCACAGCCATATCACATCAGAACGGAGCCGACCGGACTGATCCAGAACACACCGGGCCCGTCCAGGAGGCCTGTTCCAGTTTCCTAACCAGGTAACAGAACCAGCCCCCCCCCACCCCCCATATACTGGCAGCTCCCACTCACTCAAGCAGGTTATTTAAGCCTGTTAATCTTGTGCCCCATGACCCATTTGAGAAGTCCTTCACTGGTAGCAGTAGCTTTGGGTCAGGAGGTTGCCATGACGTCATAATTGGACTAAAAATGTCTGAAATATGATTAATTTATCCATTGAACTTTTCTTTTTTTTTTTTTAAGAAAGTACCTGTGTTGTATCTAAGTGAGGGCGGCTCTGATTAAGCAGACCCGGCCCAACCAGTGGTGCCGCCATTTTTTAAAAGTGGTTGTGTGCACGAGGCTTTATCGGCGCGTTTCCTGAGCCTGTGGTACTTCCCAGACACAACACAGCCACGTAGGTGTGCGTGTGTCACGTACGCGGCGCGTCATGACCCGAATGCGCTCGCCGGGGCGGCCGCATACGTCGTTTCCATACAGTTGTTCTAAACAATAGTGGCTTCCTGTTAGTTTAACCTCCCCTCCTGACCCAGATGGTATGATGTTTGCCATATGTTCTGCAGCAGCTGCCTCTTTCTTCTTCTAGAAAAGATGTTTTGTTTTCTGACCTCTCATCTAAAACCCCTTAGACTCAAACACTGCTGATTTCAGGGTGGGACCCTGAAGCATCACTAACAAAAGGGACCTGTGCTCATTCTGAGCTAACTGGACACGATTAGCTGGGTAGAAACGATACAAAAAGGACAGATAACAAATCAAATCGTTCCCTCTCTGTGATGGTCTAATGGTAATTTACTGTTTACGTGTCAGATGAAATCCCTCTTAATTGTCTCAGACTCTTAATGGCAAGTTTCCCTAAAATGAAGTCAGTGTCAGCGTGTACATGAGACTGACATACATATTTTATGACAAAAGTCATTATTGAGAGAAAAGTGGAAATGGAGGGGGGGGTTTTGGGCCGGGTCGAGGTGGAGTCCTCGGATTACAGTTGCTTTTATGCTCTTACCTCCTTACAAGTGAGACTCTGATCGTGTTTCTTTTCTTACAATAACAATAATAACAGCATCTCGCACAGTCGATGGATTTGTCACTAAGAAATGTTTTTTCACATCAGTGTTCATTGATTTCTTTTGAGATGTTTTGTGAAATGGTGTCTTTTGGGCATGTTTGGGTTCTACCATTTAACAGGCTTGTTACTTGTCTGCAAAAACTCTTGGACATGATGTAATGAATTGCTATGCAGATGTGAGGTTTACCGTGTGACACCTCCCATCTGCCTTTCCCCCAAACGGTCTGATGCGACCCGTGTCTAAAGAAATCGATGAAGCCATCCATTTGGCCTCTCGGCTGCCTGAAAGGGGCTTAAAGGTGATGTCTGTGTGTTCACAGTTGAGGGCTCGAGTGTGGATGGAAGGAGATGATTTTAACACGGACACTGTGATGAACATCTGTGGTGAGTTTAGCTTTTAAAATGCTAAAGAACACATCGAAGGAATGATCTGTTGATTGGTGTTTTTTCTTTTTCTGCTATATTCAAGCATGCATTTACCTCCATGTTCTTTGGTTTTAGCACAGGCTTTTTAAACTCTGAACTTTTCCAGCGATTTCCTGTCACAAAAACATTAAAAATGACTTATCCTGCTCATATTCGGCTATTAGTCGGCGTTTTTTTTCTTTCCATTCTTGCCCATGAAGATCCATCTGCTCCTCACAGTGAACAATGTAGTGCTTTCCATCCTGCTCCCTTACAGGCTATATTTAGAAGGACTGCCCTTTCTGTCCGATTTCCATATTCTTTTGTGGATGAGTGAATTAATTAATTTCCATGGAAACACTCGGAGCGACACCGGTCCGTAGGCGCTTTAGGCAGAGCCGCCCCTGATCTTTACTGTATGGATGCCGAACAATATTTAAGAGAAGATGTAGAGTGATCTTTGAGCCCTGCTTTTGATGATCCAGTCAGGAAGGTCAAAGGCTACAACCAGCAACCCCTGTCTGCTTTGCAGATGACCTAATGGCAGACCAACGGATGGACATCTCGTCTACTATGACTGACTTCATGTCCCCCGGCTCCACTGACCTCATCTCCAGCTCCATCAGCACACCCGGCATGGACTACACCCGGAAGAGGAAGGGGAGCACCACCGACTACCAGTAAGGAGAGCTCGCTCTAGCCTCGGCCTTGTTTTTACACTCGGGGCAAAGCATCAACAACCAGAGCGGAACTGGTCATACAGTGTGGACAAAATCAGGACAACCCTACTCAGTAAAGCTGCTTGTTTGTTTATTTATAGGTTTTCCTTCCATTGTAATGATGAAAATGATGAGTAAATGGCAGAATTAAAGTTGCAAACTCCAGTCTTTAAACAGTAGAAAGTAGTGTTGATGGGAGTAAGGGAGGTACAAAAACGGTGATGAAACGGGGGAAAAGATAGGGCCAACCTAAGGCAGTTTCACCGGTCGTCACAACAAACACAAGCGTGCATTAAGCTGACGGCTGATTGGCCCCCAGCTTCCAGCCTTTTGCGTCGGAAATCCATTAATGATTTTTTTTTTTTTCCTTTTCAGAATTGATGGCTTCTCATTTGAGTAAGTTCAAACATGACTTCTTATTTTTAGATGTAGCATGACCCCCCCCCCCCTCCCCCAGGGCGGCCTTTCTCCGACATGTAAAAGCTAATGCCGTCTCTCTTTACCCTCTCAGTGACATGGACCCGGATAAGGAAAAGTCGGGAAGGTAAGGTCAAAACATTGTTGTTGTGTCGGTTTTCTCCTGTCTTTTCTTGTAAATTTTAGCTTTCTCAACTAACCTCGATTGAGGATATGTTTATCCGAATCATGGCAGAGGTTTCATCCATCCATCTTGGTATGTTTTAGCAAAGACGGTCGGATTATGACGTGAGCTCCGGGAGGCGGGGCCTATGAGGGCGTCCAAGGAGTCTCTGACCACGTAGAAAAATGTCAGAGCCAGAAAACGACTTGTCTTTTTGGTCTTTCTACATGTAAAAATGACCAGATATCTCTGTTTTTTTGTGGTGTGTGTATCAGCCTTTAGTGCTGAGCATCCAGTGGAACAGGGCTGTTTTGCCCTCCTTGTTTTCTTATTTTCTGCAGCTTTTCAGACAGAGTAGAGCAGAACAGAAGTGTGTGAGGTGGCGTGCTGACAGAGGAAGTATGTTGGGGGAAAAAAAGCGCGCCATCTCGGTTTTACCGGACTAATTTGGACCCAGTGCAGTGCAGCCAGTTTAGCTTTGTCCAGATCAGGTCCAGTTAGGTGGGAGATGTTTTTTTGTGACGTCTGACTGCTCTTCTCCGGGATGCTTGGCCAGCGTTGAGACTATTCCTGTCGGCCTGACGGTGCCGACTGTGATTTCTGTTGTGATATCAGGTTAAACTAGCTGGCAGAAAAGCAGCAGATGGCTGCAGCTCCAGTGCAGACTCCTGTTCCAGGTGGCATTCAGGTGACCTGATTTGCGTTGTTTGGGAAGCTGAAGTGTATCGCGGGCTCTGGAGAGATTACGCTTCTCCCTATGAGTCAGGTTTAATTTGTCATAATTCGTTCGGTCTGATCCGATTCCGCGGCGGATTGAGACGCTTTATGATGCCGAGCCACTGGGTGAGGTGTCAATTGTCCTTATTGTTGCGCTTTTTACGCAACTTTGCGTGCGAGGGAAGAATGTGAGGAGGTTTAAACCACGTCATATCTGAACGCCATCAGTCTCCAGGGTTGTACAGTTAAATAAAACCCTGCGTGGCCCTTATTGCGTAATCCCTGATGCTGTTACAGAACCTGTGAGGTTAGCTCTGACCCCATTTCCTCCTCTATCCTGTCTCTAGCCTTTGAAGTGGATGAAATGTTGCATTTTCCTGCCCTTTTTTCCCCCTCTTTAATATTTCTTTTTGTCTTTCCAGCGACCAACAGGGCAGGCTTAAAAATGCCAGGTAGAAAAACCATCTTTTTTTTTTCTTGATCTCAATCCTCTTAACCCCTCAAAGACTGCATAAGCATGCCTAATGGTTGTACTGAAGCAGTGTGTTCTGGTTGTTTAGTCAGAAATCGAGTTTAGAGTAGTTGCATCCTCTGAAGTTTGTGTGAATTATTAATCTTTTCTTCTAAAGAGAACCGTGTCATTTCTGTGTGTTATAGCTCCTTAGATAAGATAACCATTCAGACAAATCCTCAGTGCAGAGACAGAAAATGATCCCGTGATGGATGATGTGTTCGGTTCCAGACCATTAGCTTTTTTTCTAAGAGCGGGAACGCCACAGAACGTGGCGCTGTGATTGAGCCTAGTCTCCGGCCTGTGCTCTGCAGGGAGGCCCACAGCCAGATCGAGAAGCGCCGCAGAGACAAGATGAACAGCTTCATCGACGAGCTGGCCTCGCTGGTCCCCACCTGCAACGCCATGTCCCGCAAGCTGGACAAGCTCACCGTCCTGCGCATGGCCGTCCAGCACATGAAGACGCTCAGAGGTTAGAGGGGGGTTTGAGAAACGGGGAATGAGGGGAGACGGTTAAAAGATGCTTGGCTTAATAGGTAATTCAGCTTCCTCCTCTCTGAAGGGAGGAGGTGGGGTTTTCCTTAATATATATATAAAAAATTAGATTAGAATATCCTCTCTGTTGTCTTCAATTCTAGAAAAGAAAAAAAAACTTTTTTAAAAGTAGAGATTTTTTCTTGCTAAATAACACATTGTTGATAAAGTGTACGTCAAAGGGAATTCAAGCATATTATTTTTTTCTCCGCTCATCAAAAGTCATCAAATATAAAAGTGATTTTGTTTTCTTCTTATTTTTTTTTTCCCAGTTTAATTTCCAAAGATTGTTTTTAAGGGGACTTTTGGGTCAGAAACCCAACCAGTGGTCAATTTAAGCAATTCACGTTTATGATCGTCAGAAATTAAGTAAAGCCTTTTTCTGCTTTTTTATATATATATAGATACGCGAGTACAAATAAAAGTGCAAAAAATGATCTGGCATATGCGTTAGGTGAATAGCAGATGTTGACAGGCGGGTTAGTGAGGAGCAGCAGATGGGTGGAGGATGGTTTATGGATCCTGACAGATGAGCGCTGTGTGTTTTTTGCCCGTCCAGGTGCAGCCAACCCGTACACAGAAGCCAACTACAAGCCTTCCTTCCTCTCAGATGATGAACTGAAGCATTTGATACTAAGGGTGAGTCCACATCTTTGAACTCCCGAATATTCATGGATTCCATCCAGAACTCTCTTTACCTTCACATGTTGACGAGTAACATCTCTTTTAATTTTCTGCTATTTGATGTTTTTGCACATCTTAACATTTTCAAAGACATTCATTTTTGCTGAGTCATCATTGTGAATAAGGCGTGTCCTTGGAAATTAAATAAAAATCAGACCTTTAAAACATCCAAAGCTCAATTTTAAATTGCATACATGTATTTTAAGACACAGAATTTAGTTTCTCAGGCTATGTGATTAGTCCTGGATGGGTGTAAAAAAAAAAAGAAAAAAGGAGGCAGGTTTTGTTTGGAGTGTATGAAAAATTAAATGTGCCTTCCTCTGTCTTCCCTTGTTTTGTTTTCCAGGCTGCTGATGGTTTCCTTTTCGTAGTTGGCTGCGATCGTGGCAAAATCCTATTCGTTTCTGAATCCGTCTACAAGATTCTCAACTACACCCAGGTCTGCCACGCGTCGCTCTCCTTTTCCTTTTCTCATCTTTAGAAAAGAGTTTTAGAAGATGTTTAAAGCTGCTCGGAACAAAAGCAAAAGAGTCGAGATGAAAATGTCCTGTCTCTGATTTGGAAATGACTCCTGAAACTTGGAGGACAGCCAGCTTTTACACGTTTCTTCTCATTTCGTGCTGATGGAAAGCAAGTTGAACTGATTTTAGCTGGCATATAAACTTGTGTAAAAAGGGAATTCCAGCAGCAGCTGGGTGGATTCTGCTGCCTATCAGCAGACAGGAGCGCCCTAATGTACATTTCTAGAATATTTGGGGGGTTAAGTATGCGTGTGTGAAAGCAGGATCGGAGAAATAAATGTGATTTTAGAATATCTTGAACTAAACTCCGTGTCGCTCGTCTCTCCCGCCGTCTGCAGAACGACCTCATAGGTCAGAGCCTGTTCGACTACCTTCACCCCAAGGATATCGCCAAAGTCAAAGAGCAGCTGTCGTCCTCGGACACGGCCCCCCGGGAGCGCCTCATTGACGCGAAAAGTAAGCCTGCGCACGGTTTATTTTTCTTTCCTCCGGTTTTACGTCTCAATCCGCTCTTTCCTTTGTGATCTAAGACAAACAAAAGCAGTCAGGAATCCGAAGGCCGAACAAATAGACAACACATCAGAGAGTTTCTGTGCTGGAAACTACGTCACCAGCAAAAAAAAACTCATTCCATTAGCCGACTCTGAGCCTCAGTTATCAGCCACGACGCTCCATCCTTGAGCATTTTGATTCTCTTTTTGTTTAGTTTTTTTAAGGCAATTCTCCGAAAGTTAGTAATAATACTTAGAGACGGTGGAGAAAAAAACCCCTCTCTAACCCCCTACAGAGAGCTAACGATGGCAAATGGAAGGAGCGAAGCGGCAAACGCAGCTGGAGGTCGGCTGTGTGAGCTGAGCATCTGAAAAAGTCTCAGATGGATGTTTCTATGAGCGATGACTCACAAGCCTTTTTTTTTTTTTCAATCGGTAAAGAAAAGAAGCGTCTTTTAAAATGTGTTTTTTATTATTTTATCCAGTCGTTAACGGGAGCCTCTGTGTTGTTTCAGCCGGTCTTCCCGTGAAGACGGACATCACCCCCGGTCCCTCCCGGCTCTGCTCCGGGGCCAGGCGCTCCTTCTTCTGCCGGATGAAGTGCAACAGGCCCTCTGTCAAAGTGGAGGACAAAGACTTCCCCTCTACCTGCTCCAAGAAAAAAGGTGCCCCCCTCTCTAGCTTCCCGGTGCTACTTTTCATTCCCTATTTTTAGAAACGTCCCTATCAGAGAAAGGAATCACACCTCAGTTAGCACCGGAGCTTTTCCGTTACACAATCCAGGACGTTTGCCTCATTTGAAGCTGTTGTTAGCCTTTTTTTTATTTATTTTTATGAACAAACTCGGATACACACACTGATTCCACCTCTTAGCTGTTTTAAAGCAGGGCTGTCCCGATCTGGCCTGATTTAGAATAAAAGCACCTCTTCAAACGTGATGCACTGACCTGAACCAGGCGAGGAAAAGCAGGAAACATCTAGAACATGCAGGACGGCAGCCCTCCAACCCCCTTGTTTTAAAGCGACATGGATAGATGAACGTTCATTAAAGAGCGGGTCTATTAAAGAATCCCCCAGTTGAATAACCTGCTCCCAGCTTTGTTTAGGCTACAACTTGATGGATGATGTCGTTAAAGGGGAGAAAAGAGATTTTTTTTTTCAACACTTTTTTTCAACACTGTGTAGACGTGGTCCTTTTCTGGCATTTCTATTTTATAGTTGGTCGTCAGGCTTTTTATTTAAAGGAAAACAGCAGAATATCAGGTCTTATTTTAAAATCGTGTTGGGAGAATAGCGGGAATGATTACACAAACTGACAAAAGTAGAGTGGAGTAAAAAGTATTAATACATAATAAATAAAAGGATATTTACAACGTTAATACAACTGTCAGGGCTTTGTAGACGTATTTACTCGCTGGGGTTGGATTATTTAGGAGACACGATCACAGATGGAAGTGGGTAAAAGATCATCTTATTCGATAAGACAAAGTGGGGAAAAAAAACAGAATAAAAAGATTGTTCATTGAAAAAAAAAAATCATTTGTCATCCCATGGCAAAAAGAGATGGCCGTTCTGGACGTTGGCAGAAGGAGGTTTTATTGGCTCCGCCTCCTTTTTCCCTCCAGATGCAGTTTCATTGTTAACCCGGCAGTTATTTAAGTCCTCAGATTAGATCCGAAGCAACAGATTCACTGCATCCTGCGCTCTAATCAGATTAGCAGAAAGTGGTGGTTCGCTTCAAGCTTTTGTCTCTTTACTCTTTACTCCTCCTTGGCGAGGGAACGCGATCTGAGCTCAGCGTATTTTACCCGACCGCCTATTCTCTGATGAACTTCTCTGCGACTCTGGTTGACGGTTTAAGACCAAACAAAATCAAATTCCTTACAGTTACAATAAATATCAAATATGCCCCCAAAAAACCTGGAAGCAGGTGGAAAAAAAGTGTGAATGTATTCATCCAAGAAGGTCAGTTATAGTAATTATTCCTGGGAACCAAACCGGGGTAATTTCCTCTGGGAAAGCCTCATCTGATGAGGAGAGGGGAGGTGAGTGCCTCCCACCTGAGGACTGATTTAGACTCTCTGTTGACTTTTCCCGGCTTTAGCGGGTCGACGAGCCTTCGGCCCGGCTGATTGGTGGCCGAGCCTAATCCCTTTACGTCAGATCCAGCCGTTCGGATCCATTCTGAGGATTCAGCTCTGCTATTGCTTTTTGATTTGGCTTTAATTTGAATAGTTTTATTAAGTTTTGGTTGGTGGTTGGATTTTTGTCTTTTTAACTCATTGGCTGCCAAAGACGTCTATAGACTTCTTTTATGTTTTTCAACGCAAGTGGCTGGGGGACGATCTGCTTAAGCTTGTCCGTAAATATCAGGCTTCTAGACAGAGTATGTAGCAACAAATTTACCCTCTAGGTGGCAGTGCCGCTTTTGATGGGAGATGAGCATAGACTGTAGGCAAATAAGAAAAACGTAATGGTTCGCTATGAGAGAACATGTCGCCGGTGAGACGCAAGTCGAGGAAGAACGGAATAAGGCAGAAACAAATTTTTTTTCCTGATGAAAGAAGAGAGTCTACTCTTTCTTTTGGTGTGTTCGGTGTTTACATAGTCATAGCACAAACTATTCTGTGGCTCTTGAAAAATCAGTCAAAAATGCTCAAAAATCTCTGGCAGTCAATGAGTTAATTCTGTGAAGCACTTTGAGGTCTATATAGAATTTTGATAAAAATCTATTTTCTCTTTAAAAACAATAATTGTACCCCACTGAATTATCTTTATAATATTTTTATAGTAATGAAACAGTTGAATCCCACCCAGCTTCACCCTTTAGGTCTGGTTTGTGCCCAGTGAGGCCTCAGTGAAACAGACTTTGTGTTGAATTCTCACCGGGACTCATCCATTGCCCCCCCCCCCCCCCCCCCCCCCTCTCTTCCCTCCTCTCTCCCCAGCCGACCGCAAGAGCTTCTGCACCATCCACAGCACCGGCTACCTGAAGAGCTGGCCGCCCACCAAGATGGGCCTGGACGAGGACAACGAGCCCGACAACGAGGGCTGCAACCTGAGCTGCCTGGTGGCCATCGGCCGCCTGCACCCCCACATCCTCCCCCAGCCCAGCCCCGCCGACATCCGGGTCAAGCCCACCGAGTACGTCTCCCGCCACGCCATCGACGGCAAGTTCGTCTTCGTGGACCAGAGGTGAGATCTCGAACCGCCCTAACCCTAACCCGTACCTCTACCCACCCCCACAACTCCTTCTGTGGTCCCCTCTACCTCTATCTCTATCTCACCACTGACTCTGATCAGTGGTGACATTCATTTATGTCCATTATAGTGGACATTTTGTCCACCTGTACCCCCCCCTAAGTATCTGGAGTTACCCTATCAAGGCCTATAGTGTTCTGTAGAGGACATCCTGGGCTTTCCAGTGATGTGCCATGTGATAGGTTTGCATGCTGGGAACTTTACTTTTTTCCTAAGAGTTCTTAGGTAAACATCCCTTTCAAGACATCTTCTTTTTTTATTATTTAATTATCTAAAGTCTGTTCTATTTTCCCATTCAAATCGTCCTGTTGTCCTCCACAGTGGACATGCTATGAAATTAAAATTGAAATTGTAATGTTCTTTTTTAGGTCCAAATACATGGAAAATCACAACAGAAAATACATTTGAAGACACTTTTTTTTCTTTGGGTCTCAGGAGGTTATAGCTTATTGTCATAGTGATGAGAAATGTAATATTGTGTCTACTCTGTAAGTCGCTTTGGATAAAAGCGTCTGCCAAATGCAGAAACATAAACATAAACAAAGAGGGCGTGGCAGGGGGCAGGGCTTGCTGATGTAACTCGTCTCTTGTGGGTTTGCCCCCCCCCCCAGAGCCACGGCTATCCTCGCCTACCTGCCCCAGGAGCTGCTGGGAACCTCCTTCTACGAGTATTTCCACCAGGACGACATCAGCCACCTGGCGGAGTGCCACCGACAGGGTAAGTTAAGTCCCGGGAATGCCGGAGGCCGGGAACGCCGCCCCCGGGAACGCCGCTCACGGAGCCCGTCTGTTTTCCCTTTCGCAGTGCTGCAGATGCGAGAGAAGATCAACACCAACTGTTACAAGTTCAAGATCAAAGACGGCTCCTTCATCACGCTGAGGAGCCGGTGGTTCAGCTTCATGAACCCCTGGACCAAGGAGGTGGAGTACATCGTCTCCACCAACACCGTCGTCTCGTGAGTAGCCGCCCGCCGCCACTCCGGACTCCCGGTTTTCCGGACGGAAAGCCGGAATCGCTCACTCCTCCTCCTCCTCCTCCTCCTCCTCCTCCTCCTCCTCCTCCAGGTGTCCTGTCATGGAGGGGTCAGACTACCCCCAGTCCGCCGCCTCCCCACAGAGCATGGACAGCGTCCTGACCTCTGAAGGTAAGCTTTGCCCCCCCCTTATCACTCCCCGCTGTGGGTTTAACGGTCCGGCTGACTGGGTTCCCCCCCCCCCCCCCCGGTGCAGGCGGCGGGAGGCGGGTGCTGCAGACCGTTCCCGGCATTCCCGGGGGCACGCGGGCCGGAGCCGGGAAGATCGGGCGCATGATAGCCGAGGAGGTGATGGAGATCCAGAGGTGAGGAAAAGCAGCACTCGATCGGTTAAGCTTTGATAGTTTCTGATCATTTTCTGGCTGAGGCTTTTTCTAGTTTTTTGTTTCTACCGTCAAACATTTCAATTTCCCTCTCTGCTCATAAATCTTTCTATAGGAACACACTTCGCTTTGTGTTAAAGTGAGAGAGATGTTAGGGTTAGCGAGTTGTCCAGGTCTTTTATCTGACATAAGAACATCTGGATACAGAGCTGTTTGCCTCCTTTTTATCTCAAATTTATTAGAATGAATACAGTAAATCTTCAAATCAGGCCCAAAGCTCCCAAAATGAGCTGGGAATCATGTAAATTTGACTTTGAGTGGGTTTTATTTAGTTTTTTTCACTTTGTTTGCGTCTTGCGTCGTGAGATTTTCCTTTAGCAGCTGTTTCCTAGCTTATAAACGGGCCCCTGGTTCAGGAAGCGGGCGCTTTTTAAAAAATAAATCCACCCCCTGAGACCCGGAGCCGGTCTCCTGGTGCCGGCGCTCCGGGGGCCACACCCCTAAAGCGTGTGCTCCTCTTTCAGGATCCGAGGCTCGTCCCCGTCCAGCTGTGGCTCCAGCCCGCTCAACATCACCAGCACGCCCCCGCCCGACACCGGCTCCCCGGGGGGAAAGAAGGTAGCCACACAGTGACCACTCACAGCTGTGGGAGGCAGAAAAGGGCCGTCTGTCGGCCATTTTCTCCTCAGTCTGACTCCAAGCTAAACAGAGTTCTGATTTAAACCTGAATATTATATTATTATTATATCATGATACAATATATTATTAGAATATAAATGTATGATAGTGTTATATTTTATTATATTACATGTATATGTATTTATATAATATTATTTATTTATTAATTATAGAATTTTATTTTCTCTGTTTTCTCCTCTGATTTAAACCTGAATATTTTATTATTATTATTACATTATAATACAATATATTATTAAAATATAAATGTATGCTACTGTTATATATTGTTATATTACATTTATATGTATTTATATAATATTACTTATTTATTATTTATATAATTTTACTTTCTCAGTTTTCTCCTCTGATTTAAACCTGAATATTTTATTATTAT